TCGAAGGACCAGCTCAGCATTGGTTGAATAGCTTGCCAGCAGACTCCGTCAGCAGTTGGGAGGATCTGGAAGACGCATTCCTTGACAACTTCCAGGGCACTTATGTGTGACCACCGGATGATGATGACTTGAGCCATATAACTCAGCAGCCAGGGGAATCGGCCAGACAATTCTGGACTCGGTTCCTGACTAAGAAAAACCAAATTTTCGACTGTCCGGACGCAGAGGCCCTAGCGGCATTCAAGCACAACATCTGTGACGAGTGGCTTGCCCGCCACCTTGGCCAGGAGAAGCCGAAGTCTATGGCAGCCCTCACGACACTCATGACCCGCTTTTGCACGGGCGAGGATAGCTGGCTGGCTCGCAGCAATAACACATCGAGGAATCCGGGCACTTCGGATACCAAAGATTCCAACGGTAGACAACGTCGTAACAGACCAAAGCGCTGCAATAACAGAGATAACACCGAGGATACGGCAGTCAATGCCGGATTCAGAGGCTCTAGATCCGGTCAGCAAAAAAAGCCATTTAAAAGAAGTACTTCGGCTCCGTCCAGTTTGGATCGCATACTGGATCGCTCGTGTCAAATCCACGGCACCCTCGACAAGCCAGCCAATCACGACACTCATGACCCTCTTTCTTGCAATGGGAGAAGTGCTTAGCTTTGGGTTCAATCTTGCGGTGTCCTTTCCCAGTGACAGCAGAGGCAGCAAGGCATGTATTGTATTGTTGCCATCGAGGATAAAAAGATGGGGTTTATATCATATTGCATGAATTTATCCCTCTACATCATGTCATCTTGCTTAAGGCATTACTCTGTTCTTATGAACTTAATACTCTAGATGCATGCTAGATAGCGGTCGATGTGTGGAGTAATAGTAGTAGATGCAGAATCGTTTCAGTCTGCTTGTCACGGACGTGATGCCTATATACATGATCATACCTAGATATTCTCATAACTATGCTCAATTCTATCAATTGCTCGACAGTAATTTGTTTACCCACCGTAATACTTATGCTCTTGAGAGAAGCCACTAGTGAAACCTATGGCCCCCGGGTCTATCTTCCATCATATTAATCTTCCAACACTTAGTTATTTCTATTACCGTTTATTTTACTTTGCATCTTTATTTCTCTTTATCATAAAAATACCAAAAATATTATCTTATCATATCTATCGGATCTCACTCTCGTAAGTGACCGTAAAGGGATTGACAACCCCTTTATCGCGTTGGTTGCGAGGTTCTTATTTGTTTGTGTAGGTGCGTGGGACTCGAGCGTGATCTCCTACTGGATTGATATCTTGGTTCTCAAAAACTGAGGGAAATACTTACGCTACTTTACTGCATCACCCTTTGCTCTTCAAGGGAAAACCAACGCAGTGCTCAAGAGGTAGCAATTTTTATCGGTTAAACCGCATAACAACATACGTTGTTCCCTTTGTCATCGGTATGTTACTTGCCCGAGATTCGATCATCGATATCTCAATACCTAGTTCAATATCGTTACCGGCAAGTCTCTTTACTCGTTCTGTAATACATCATCCCGCAACTAACTCATTAGTGGCATTGCTTGCAAGGCTTATAGTGATGTGCATTACCGAGAGGGCCCAGAGATACCTCTCCGACAATCAGAGTTACAAATCCTAATCTCGATCTATGCCAACTCAACAAACACCATCGGAGACACCTATAGAGCACCTTTATAATCACCTAGTTACGTTGTGACGTTTGGTAGCACACAAAGTGTTCCTCCGGTATTCAGGAGTTGTATGATCTCATAGTCATAGGAACATGTATAAGTTATGGAGAAAGCAATAGCAACAAACTAAACGATCATCGAGCTAAGCTAACGGATGGGTCAAGTCAACCACATCTGTGATCCCGTTAATCAAATGACAACTCATGTCTATGGTTAGGAAACATAACCATCATTGATTCAATGAGCTAGTCAAGTAGAGGCAAACTAGTGACACTCTGTTTGTCTATGTATTCACACATATACTAAGTTTCCGGTTAATACAATTCTAGCATGAATAATAAACATTTATCATGATATAAGGAAATATAAACAAGAATTTTATTATTGCCTCTAGAGCATATTTCCTTCAGGAGCTTCAAAGGAAAAAGTTGTGCGGGCTGGCCAGACAAAGGCAGATCACAATATTTTTTGAACGAAGCACATGCAATAGTATATGATACAAGGTTATAAGATGGAGCAATCAAATATGTATTTATTAATATAATTTTTAGAATGTTCTCCTTTTCTTTCGAAAACCAAGTCAATTCTTCCGTGAGTGTCAGTAGCTTTGCTGCCCATTGATTATGGCTACCAAATATATATTTTCATCTATAAAACGTAAAGAATAATTGAGTGCAAAAGGCGGGCTATCTAATGAAGCAATTGTAGGAAAATTAGTTGTGCAGTCTATTACTATTTTCGTCTAGTTCGTTTCCCCAATCGAATGGACCGACCTTGATATCTAACCATGACTTTACGGTGGACAGATATGCATATGAGAAATTTGTATCTAACTCCATCGCTGAACTCGTTGATTACTTGTGATCTCTTGCTGACCCGCAATCTGGGTGCCCGTACAGCAAGTCGGAGGGCGAGAGCGGGGTGGAGCTGTCTACCTGCCCAACTGGCCCCTGGATGTGCGACGCTAGATCTACGTTGTCGGCCGATGCTAGGCCTAGGTACAAGTGTTGAGTGCCCCTGCTGGCTGCGGCCAGGAGAAGCTCCAGAGCTGCTACATGCTCGTGCCAGCTACATGCTCTCGCGTGGCAAGTTGGCGACTGCGAGCGAGACGCGAAGTGCTTTAGATCGACCATGTACTTAGTGGGTTGCAGATTGGTTGTGCTCCGATGCATAGGTAAAATAAAAAGTGCAAAAAACCTGGGCGGGCCATGGTCCAGTTTGGCCCCAACAGAGCTCCGCCCCTGCATGTAGGCATGTGTAACATGTTGAGGGTTTGTCTTGCAGCCCATGGCGAACCCGGCGATCTGATGTCCATAATTGGTATTGTGAAGCTAGCCATGCGAAGATCTTGCATTTTGGAGTTGCCCAACTCCTCTAGATGCACGTAGTAGTGCTCGAGCGTGCCATGCCTTGCCACAAGTGGTTGTACATCGATTTAGCTGTGTACGAACCAAAATCCTCACATGCCAGCTGAAACTGTCCACCTCCCTTGTGTTTCTAGGCACATTGGCAATGACATGCTGCGGGCGCATGAGTTGTATTTGAGCTGTGAAGGATATGTCTCCCTGATATCATGCAACCATGCATCATCCAGCAGCGCTTGTTGCACAGTCCTACAATTTTTGATGTGCGTGTCCACTTCAACCACAAGCGTTGGTGCGATATCACCAATAGCAAAGCCCTGAAGCCACCGATTGGTGCAGAAGAGCACTCTATCTTCTACAACCATAGTGACGACCACCGTGCTAGCAAAGACTGCTCTAGCCTTGCCATCAATCATAAATGTCAGCCCCTACCATGGTTGATCTTTGTCCATCCTTCTCAGCCATTCCCACCATACTCGAAGGGAGAGAGCTTGCAGTTTCAAGTTCTTCACACCCAGATCTTCAAACTGAGTTGGCCTACATATTGTGTTCCATGCAACCAAGCATTGCCCTCCATTTGTGGGCTCTTTTCCGGCCCAAAAGAAGGACCTCATCCAAGCATCTATCTCCTCAAAAACCCACTGTGGTGCATCTAACACTAGCAAGTGATGCGACGGTCTTGCCGCAATAACGCTCTTTACCAGTATCAATCTTCCCAGTCTCTATATAAGGCCGCCCCGCCAGGATGGTACGAAGTTCTTAAGCAAGGGAAGGCTCCAAATTGACATTGTAGGTACTGTCCAACTCCATCTCTGTCATCTTGATCTCCCCTTATGAGTATAGCAGATGTCTTTGTGTAGTTGACTCTCAATCCCGTGGCCTCTCCAAAGACAATGAGCACACATCTGACGCATGAGAGATCGATAGCGGAGGGGGCGTACAAAAAGAGCTACATCATCGGCGTAAATTGATTGCCTCTGTGTTGTTGTTATTCCCGGGGTAAGAGGAAAGAGGACCCTCAAATGTAGCCTTGGTGATTAGTGTCGTGAGCACATCCATCGCTATGACCAAGAGCGGCCGGGAGACGGGATCTCCTAAGCCGTTGGCATGTGAGAAATTTATCCTTGTACAGCCATTAATAATCACCTTCGTGCTCGCAGTTTGTAGCAGAATTTGCACCCATCGAGTGAAATTTTGTCCAAAACCTTTGGCTCGCAATAACTCAAAGAGGAAAAGCCACGGTAGTGAGTCAAAAGTCCTTGAAATATCAATCTTCAGAAACACTCCAGGGGTTCTCCGCGCATGAATCCTTCTAGCCACATGTCTCACCAGCAAAAAGTTATCATGTAAATTTCTGCCCTAAATGAATGCAGATTGGTTGGCATTCACCATTTCTTTCATTCTTCTCTGATCTTTCATTCTTCTTCGAGCCCTTGTATCAAGTAAACCAATAGCTAATACTAGTACACATTGACGTTCCAAACAATCCCATTATCACCTCTTGTAAAACTGATCTTTATCTATCTTTTGAATAGAGGGACCACACGGCCCGGTTTTCGTTAAGAAAATGTGGTTCACTACAACAGCTACGGAAACCATTAGGCCATGTTCGGTTGACAGGGTTGTGGAGGGATTTTGACAGGGATTAAGGTAGATTAAATCCTCTACAGGTCAAATCCCCCCAAATTCTCTCCAATCCTCTTAGGGCAGGGTGTAACCGAACAAAGCCTTAGCGAATCCCATTTCGATACATCCATCCATCCAATTTGTTAGGAGCGTGCAAACCCGAAAATGCATAGGAGTGCCGTGCACCTTATATGAATAGTGAAATTAAAAATAGATACTAGGAAAAATAAAAAATTCTAAAATTTTGGTGTCCCGATCATGTTTGCGCGGTCAGTGGTCGATCGAGCTGGAAAGAAAAGAGAAGCTAACCATTCTTGCCAGATAGCAACACACCATGGATGAGCGAATCAAGATAGGTCAACGATCTCGCCGTGGACCGGACAGCCGCCTCCCTCCACTCGGTCGCTCTCTTCCTCATCTCCCCGCCCTTCTCCCCGCCCACCGCCTCCTCGATCCTCCGCTGGACCACCTCCCGCCGCACGTTGTCGCCGATCTCCATCGCCACCCCCCACTCGGCGCATTTGTACCGGCAGTTGGTCTGCTGATCCGCGAAGAAGGGCCAGCACAGCATCGGCACGCCGCCGCAGAGGGCCTCCACCGTCGAGTTCCACCCGCTGTGCGTCAGGAACGCGCACACGGCGTCGTGCCGCAGCACCGCCTCCTGGTCGCACCAGCTTGCCACGAGGCCCCTGTCCCTGGTCGCCTCCAGGAACCCGGGGGGCAGCGCGGCGCCGGCGGCCTCGCTGCTCTTCACGACGTCCGGCCTGACGATCCAGAGGAACTCCTGGCCGCTGTTGGCCAGCCCCCACGCGAACTCCGCCAGCTCGTGGCTGCTCATCACGGTCACGCTCCCGAAGTTCACGTACACCACGGAGCGGGCCCTCTTGCCGTCGAGCCACTGCAGGCAGACGTCGTCCTCTTTCCAGAGGCTGGAGCTCACCGTGCGCAGCGGGTCCCCGCGGGGGACGATTTGGTCGGCGAGGGAGTTGAGCGGGCCGATGGTGTAGATGGCCGGTATGATGGCGCGCATGGCGTCCAGCGCCGGCTGCTCGAGCTCGTCCATGGTGTTGATGATGACGGCGTCGGCCGCCTCGGCGCGCTCCACTTGGTGTAGCTGGAAGGTCAGCAGGGTGTCGTCGCGGTCCGTCGTGCGGAGGAAGGTCGGGAAGTCCTTGAGCCGCATGTGCTTGCTCAGCCCGGGCGCCCAGTCCACCGCCATGTCCATGAACCCGTTGGTCAGCTGCTCTTCGTCTGTACGGTCTCCACGCAAAATCAATTCGTTGTTGAGATACTGAAGAAGATTTAGGCAAAGTCAAAATTTTGAAGGAAGAAGATGAGGAACTCATAGCTAGCCTTTGAGGGGAATGATGCCCCGGTCGATGAGAGGGCGGAAGTTGCGGTAGCCCATGTAGCCGCAGGCGCTGGCCGTCCAAAAGAGCGCGCACGGCACGCCGAGCTCCCTCGCGGCGTCCACGGCGAAGCTCATGAGGCCGTCCGCCACGACGCACGTGACCGGCGGCACCCCGGACGCGCTGCCGTTGAGGCCAGCGAGCAGGTTCTTGAAGTGGGGGAGGCAGGTGGTCATGGTGGAGTAGGAGAGCGACGCCGGGTCCTGCGTGGCGTCGGCGTCCGACGAGGGCAGGCCGTCGGGGATGGTGGCGAAGACGAAGCCGGGGAGGCCCGCGGCGGCGCTCGGGCCGCGGGAGCGGACGAGGCGGCGGTGGTTGTACTCGGTGCTGACGAAGGTGACGTGGAAGCCCCTGCAGTGGAGGACCTTGGCCAGCTTCATCATCGGCGTGATGTGCCCCTGCGCCGGGAACGGCAGGCACACGGCGTGCGGCTTCTCGCCGGCGGCGGGATCCATGTCTAGCAGTGGGGCGAGTGGTTCGTGGATGGAGCTTTCTTGATTGTCACCAGATCGAATAAGAAACCCAGCGGGCGAAGACCGGAAACCAGGAGATAGCTGATGATACAATATGCAGCGGCGCCTACCCCGTTTGACTTGGGAATTTCCATGTCCCCTGCTTTTTTTTTTAATTTGCGCGCGCGCGTGATGCGTTGCTATCTTGTACTTTGTGCGGCTGTGAATTCGTAGAGATGTAACACGAATGATGAGATGCACTGGTGATCCTATTGGCAGATCAGAATGGCATGCAGATGCAGGGCCCATGCATCCCAGGAGCAGATTGAGTGTCGGATTATGTCGGTCTCCACTTTCTGTCCTTTCTTGCACTGATGCCACTCTGTTTCTTTCTTTTTTTTCTCTCCCATTGCACCCGGGGCTCGAAGCTTCATAGCCTTAAGCGCGGCGTTGATCTCGGAATCTATGAAAAACAGAGAGAGGGTCTTGTTGTCGGCTAGGGAGACCAGGGGTTATCCTCCTTTTTGGTTTTTTTTAATGGATTTAGAGCACACAAGTTTTTAGCCATTTTTTTTCTTTGCGAAATCAGTTTTACTTATTTTTTATACGAATAATCAGTTTATAGAAAAAGTCGTTTGGAGTTGGGAAGTGTAAAACTTCCTTGTTTGGAGGATTCCATCCTACCGTCACGAACAAAGTTGTCGTTACCCCCAAATAGGTCATGGCATACACATCGGTGAATTCACCTGCAGTCACTGGGCTCATCCTCAAAATTCAGCTCGGTCACTACTCAGGAATACCCGGAGTACAGTCATGAACGTTACACTAGTGAACAGAGATGGTCATCAGTACACTTTGCCTATGTATTCCGTTGATGTGGTGTATGGTCTGACCGACTGACCGACAACATGGCAAAAGCGGGGGTGTTTTTGAAAATGTGATGTCGGCCCGCCCTTACATTTTGCACGAATTTCTCCAGCTCTATCTGTCTCTCATTTGTGCCTAATCAGTGCACTCGGGATGAGGAGAGGATGAGTCAGGAGGCGGTAGAGAAGCTGATCAACCGCCACAGGCCGTGGTGATCGGTGACATGATTTCCCGCCTGGAAGAAGGCTTGGGGAGAGGTTATTCGCGAGAGAAGGCATGTTCACGACAGATTTGGTTTGCGATGACTCATGTTCGTCGCACGGAGCATGCACCACCGCCCCAATATGGTAAGTGCTCAACAATCCTTCCTGTTATGCTCCAAATCATGTTCTATCTTAGATATTTCATGTTGCATTTCTGCCACTTTTGTAGTTTGAGCATGTACCGGGGCGAAATCGGGGCTCGATGCTATTGTTTGGATCGGGGTTTTGGGGAGGGGATAAAATTTTGAGGTTTTAATCTCCAAAACATGTTAGTTTGTTGATATTTGGTGTAGCATTGGTGTATTTTTCCTAGTTCCAACTATAACATGGCAAAAACAGGTTCTACCCTAGGGTTTAGACTGGTGGTTTCTGTATGGTTTAATTTTTGGGCCTTTTTTCTTCAGTAGATGAGAGCATGTATGTACGGATGTTGTACTGGTGGAGTCCATGTTTACCGTGCAGATTAGAAAGCCCATATTTCTCGGTTTAGATATTTCATGGGGGATTTTACATGGGCCATGCTATATTATTTCGGATAGAGTATTTGGTTTGATCACATTGACAAGTTCAGTTGGTCACCTTCATCTAATGATGATATCATAGAGGAGACGAGTTATGAGAAGAAGGGAATAATGAAAGTTTGTTATTGTGTGCCTGGTCTGCAAGTGAGCACCAATGGACTTGTAGAGAGATAAATGGATCCTAGGGCTAAACTTGATGGGTTTGCTAATGCACTCACTACACTAGTTGTGTCCAAAATGTAGAATATTTTGCTTATTTCATTGATGTTCGTGATAAGATCTCTGGAACTTGTGATAAATACAAACCAAAGTATGTGAGAGTTCGCATGCAACGACCTCCATCAGCACCAACTGTAGGAAAAAAGAAAGGAGTGTAGAGTAATATATTTGGTTCTTCCTCATGTGCCCCAAACTCTTCAATAGGAGCATCAACACTTGTGCTTGCGGGTGGTAGGGAGTTAGCGGAACGCCCCAACAATGACAATGTGAGCTTCAATGAAGAGGACGAGGAAGACTTTAATGAGAACACTAATGACTATGAAAGATGGGAACTAGCCAGAAGAAGAGCCCAACACATTACAAAAAAAACAAAGAACTAGAAAAACATTGTCATTCACGAAGAGGAAAAGGGAGATTTTTTCATTTTCTTTTGTAGTATTCTTATCCTTTTGTAATTTTCTTTTCTCTTGTAACCTAGAGCGTGGCTTTGTACTCTTTTTTTGTCTTTTAAAGGATTGAATGTTTTAATGAGGCAGTCACTAGTAAAGCTCAAAATTTATACCACATGACACTTTGCCTCTTTTTTATTCCTTTTTCTGCATTTTTCAGTTTTTCCTTAAAAAATCGAAGTATTTGGGCCATAATGGCCCTGAGGGCACGGGCCCGCTCACTTATAAACATGACTAGGCGGGCCGTGCCGTGCCTGCCATGTTTACGCGTGTGCCAGGCCGTGCCGGCCCAATTGGTCAGGTTTGGGTGTGCTGTTTCGCTAGCCCGCTCGACTGCTCCTCTGCCGACCCCTAAAAAAAAGACTGCTCCTCTGCCGCCGGACCTCCACTCTCCCGCCAGGCGCCCGCCGGTCGTCCTCCGCCTTCCTCCCTGCACTTCCTCCACCGCGCGATCCCGACCCGCCTTCTCCGCCCCGCACCGCCGCCCGCTCGACCCGAGCTCTCCCCTGTCTGCGAAGGCGACAACCAGCAGCCGCGGCCCGAATCCAGGGTGGGAGGGAGATCTGCCGCGCTGCTCTGCTCGATGGAGACTGGAGCGGAGGCGGGCGGCGGCAGGCCGGAGTACAGCATCATCGTTCCCACCTACAACGAGCGCCTCAACGTAGCACTCATCGTCTACCTCATCTTCAAGCACCTCCCGTAACCCCCTGCCTTTACCCACCTGTTTTGCTTGCCCATGCTCATCCTCTTCTACTTCTCCCGGTAGGTACTAGTTGAGATCGTTATCTCTGTAGGGCGGAGGGCGTTCGTGATCCAGAATTCCAGATAGATTTAGAGCCGTCTCAGATTTTCCGGTTTGCAGATAAACTTGGTCGTTGACAGCAATCGAAATCTTTGTTTACAATTGACTGCTAATGGCTCTGGGATTCTCCAATTCTCCACTTCCACAGTGCAAATGTATAACACGCCTTTGGAACTAGTTATTACGTTGGATTTAGGCCATGAGATATGATCGCTGTCGCATCTCATCATGTGTAGCTGCCAAGTGCTAGTGGTGCCGTCAGCCGTGCTCAGCTGAATTCAGTCCCTGTTGTCCGCTTGATCTTGTGACAAGATCTCTCAAAGGACATAGATCAAGCAAGGCGACCGTGTCATATGGATATTTCGAAACTAGTTTCCGGTTCATGTTATTTCTCCAAGACTAGGCAGTTTTCCAGAGTTATCCAAAGTATGTGTGGTCCTGTCAGTGTGTGCAGCTGGTTTCAGTTACATAGCACTTAGCGCCGTTTATACCCTAGATGACCTTCATCATAGTGCATCCTTGGCTAGTTTTGGGCAGTCAGCATTACAACCTGTTTTGTTGCTTCTGTGTACTCATATTATCTCGTCAGCTTAATTTTGGTGTATTTCAAATGGCAAGGCTGTTGCATATGTTTTACTAAACTTGCTGCAACTTTCTACTGTAGTGATTCCAAGTTCGAAATCATTATTGTCGATGATGGAAGCCCTGATGGCACTCAAGACGTTGTAAAGCAGTTGCAGCAATTATATGGCGAAGATCGTGTTGTAAGTAATTTAACAAACATGCTGATGTATGAGTTTATATGTATATATATGTGGTCCGGGTTTCGGTTATTTATGACTTACCTCGATATCTTTTATCTAATACCAGCTACTGCGAGCTAGACCAAGGAAGCTAGGACTTGGTGAGCTTAGCTGCCCATTTCGACATATGGTGAATGTTATGCTTGATGTTCGTGTTAACAAACTTCTATAAACATTTAGGTACTGCATATATGCATGGATTAAAGCATGCATCAGGGGAGTTCGTTGTTATAATGGATGCAGATCTATCTCATCATGTATGATTCTTCACATTTTCTTCTCTCTGTTATTTGGCATAGTTAAACTATTTAAATAGTTCTGTTCCTTTTAGTTACTGATGATTCCTTTTTCTATTCTGAACAGCCAAAATATTTGCCAAGCTTCATCAGGTCAGAATCATATACTCAGTGATGCTTTTGAATTTATCCAGAAAGAAAGATTGGATTTACAGCTTTGTATTTTGTTTTACTGAGGAAACTGGAAGGAGCTCTGCCTATTCTCTGCTGCTGCACCTCCTTCTTTCTTGGATCCTCTATCGACGTGTGTTCTCGTGTGCTTTGTTTCTAGATAGATACCGGTTATAATTGTGTGGCAGTGATGAGAAATTGAAAGGCTGGTCTTATGGCTGCCTCCGAGACACGAATATTCGAGATCTTCTCGTCGTCGTTCCGGGATGGTAGTAGCATGATGTGATATGATTCGGCGAAAGGTTTTCTCTGAGCCATTTCCCCCAGGTCTTTACAGAGGCTGACATGGGCACTGACACTGCCCTACTGTATGCTTTGAAATATTGTGTACATTTAATCTGTTCTGTTTTGATTGGTCTGTTCTCTTTGGCAAAATATGTCTTAGTTAACCAGTTTGCTCTTGTCAGGTCTAGAAATGGAATCTTGGCTAACCAAGTCATAGATATGTACTTGTGTGATAGTTGTTTGATTTAATGGCTGAAACTACTCCAGCGAGGTTTGGTGTAGCTAAGCTCTCCGAGCCCATGGGAAAAAAGTAATTAGGAGTTAGAAGAACCTATATAGCTTTTCTTTTAATCATGTTCCATCAATGACCAGGAAGCAAAAGGAAACCGGTGCTGACATTGTAACTGGCACCCGTTATGTTAGCAACGGTGGTGTCCATGGTTGGAATCTTATGCGTAAGGTGACTAGCAGGGGAGTGAATGTTCTAGCACAGACGTTGCTACAGCCCGGAGCTTCTGATCTGACTGGATCGTTTAGGTGTGTCTCATTTCTATACGAATAGAACAAGCCCCTTATAATTTCTATTGTTTGACACTTTTGCCGGTTTCCTAGGCTATATAAGCGAAGTGTTTTGGAGGATGTCATCTCCTGCTGCGTCAGCAAGGGCTATGTATTCCAAATGGAGATGATTGTCAGGGCTACTAGGAAAGGTTATCACATCGAAGAGGTAATCGGTTCCATTTTCATTTGTGTAAGGCTGGATTTAAAATATCTTGGCTTTGATAGTTGTAAACTTTGCTTGTCATGTCTAGGTCCCAATAACTTTCGTCGACAGGGTTTTCGGAATCTCAAAGCTCGGTGGATCTGAAATTATTGGATATTTGAAAGGCCTTGTGTATCTGTTGCTCACAACATAGGGGAGACGCATGGTAGATTCTTGTTAGTGTTTTTTTCCTTATGTTACCACAGCTTGAGTTACATGAATTTGCTAACATTCTCAGACTTAGTTGAATTATGTACACAAGTTTTTGTCTATGAGTATCCTTATGAATCGTGTGGCATCTTGTGTTCCATGACTTGTAATTACTCAACTGCTTGCTACCTTGGGAGAACTTGTGTACATAAGAGGAAAATAAACATAAGAGCATTCCTTTTGCAGTTATCATGCAAGTAAAATACTCCCTCCATTCCTAAATATAAGTCTTTGTAGATATTTTACTATGCATCACATACGGATGTATGTAGATGCATTTTAGAGTGTAGATTCACTCATTTTGCTCCATATGTAGTCCATAGTGAAATATCTACAAAGACTTATATTTAGGAACGGAGGGAGTACATAAACAATAGGAAAGGAAACATAAGAAAATTTCTTAATTCTTATGTTTAATTTGAGTGTAGAATACTCCGGGGAGAACAGCCATATATTACATCAAAGGAACTACCTGGAAATTCTCTTTTTCTAACTTCTGTGAAGCACCCAAAAGAAGTTAGAATGCACTTCAGACTTTAGAAGAAGTTGCACAATGACAATACAACAAGTACCAGAGAGCAAACTGGCCTAGAAATTCTGAGATGCACAAGTTGCTGCCGACCCACAGATGACTAAGTTAAGCCCACAGTTAAAAGAATATTGAAGTCAGCCCCTAGGACTTGATTTGTTAAAAAGGGTGAAGAGAATTGCTTGGTTAATATGCGGAAGTCTGGACGAAAACCATTACAACACTCCCACAAAACAAGGCACCCCGGTCTACCTGGCTACCCACAAGATCCACGCACACCGCCAAGGAGAGAAACGCCGTTGAGATTGTCTATGATATGTCATTGTGATCACTTCTTCAATAAGCAACTCCGACTTCACCATGGACAACCAACCAAGAGCCTCTGTCATCATCATCACTTCTCCTCCAACAAGCAACTCCGACTTCACCATGGACAACCAAAGAGCCTCAAAACAAATGTTGCACAAGAAACCTGCCGGCATATGCCAAGAAATCCACCAGCCGCGTCGAGGACTGGGCAGCTCCGACTTCAGTAACAAGCCTTGTAGGAGTATCAAGCCTTGTAGGAGAAAGAAGCGCCCCTTGCACCAACATAGCCCGACCTGGTCATTGCATGGCATTGTTGCCAGTTGCCACCACGTCATGCCGAGACAAAACAAACAGTCGACGACGAATGATATGCCACGACCCCACCCCACTCTTCTTGCACATCGTTGTCACACGAGTCACAGCACCAACCAGCCACACCGTCGGTCAGGCACGTAACCACCACGATGGCATACACATCCAGCACCAATGATGTGCAAGATGGATCAAGATTTTCAAGACGGCCAGAATCCACAAGAAGAGCTTGCTCTGGAAGTTCCGGATCCACAACTATTGCCTACAATTCCTCTATCTGAAGCTGCATTTTATCGTCAGCAGGTACTCCGATCATACCATTCTCAGAGCATTACTAGTAGAGCCCTCAAACGCTCAAACACCTCAAAATAACTGTTTTTTTTACAGGTTTCGTCAAAAAAAAGCCGTAGACTAGAACCCCTTAATCCTCAAACCCTTAAATTTTTTTTAAAGGTCCAACCCTCAAACCCTCTCCCAATTCTCAAAAGTAAGGGTTGGGGAGCAAAACCTACCCCAACTCTCATTTGGCGGTTATAATCGCACGGGAGGGAAAAATCCTCCCAACTCCCGCGCCCACGCCCACGCCAGCGACCGCCGCTGCTAGTCGCCCCCGTCGCCGGCGGCAGCCCCGTCGACCTCCCGCGCGCAACGACAACATCGTTCATGAGGAATATTCTGTTATAAGGGTTGGGTTTGAGGGTTCTACTAGTAATGCTCTCAGCCGGTAATGAATGCTGTAACCCCCAAATATAGGTTTCTACTTTTGGGGGCCAGATACATCAAGAAGAGTCAAGGTTTCGTACCCATCCTTTATAACCTTTATTTATTATTAGTTAAGACCATTTTTAGTCTGTTGGGCATAAAGATGTTTCAACACAAATGATCGAATTTGAGCTTGGTCATTAAGCAAAGATTTTCTTAGCCAAGATGATTTATAGTTGCCAGTAGGAACTAAGCATCCCACATTCCACTGCCAACAAGTATCAACGGCAAAAGAGGGGGGAAGGGGCCCCATGAATTCGTATAGAGCTGATCTGCAGCCGCTGTGCGAATTACACTACCTCAGTACCAAGGTACAGAAATGGACAGAATGATTTTCATTGCATGCACCGAGGCCGTGACGCAGAATCTAGCTAGGTTTACTACCCAATTGGATGACCGTTCCAAAGCACTCTACAAGATAACCAAGCCATGTCATAAGGCCAGAACTTGAGACTTGAGGTCGATTCCGTTGAATATGAATGTTCCATTCAGCGGCACAAACTGCTTGGTCACCAGCTGGACAAGGAGCGAAACAACTTGTTAGTAAGAGACAACAACATAATCCTCCTGGTTATAGCTAGCTCGATAAGGTCGGTGAAGAGAGGAGCATACCTTGATAACTTCCTGGGAGGCCACTCCGCCTATGAAGGCAGCGACAGGGTGAATCTCTGCACCCGCAAACCGGCACACTTCAGCAATCAGGTCTTCGGACAAGGATGATCCCTTCAAACCCATGTCACTTAGCACCGAGACAGCAGCCTCCTTCAGCCTAGGAACATCCTCACCAATCTCACTAGTGAATCCAGTGCTTAATCAGTATTATAAAAACATTAAAAGCATGATATCACAATTATCGCCACAAGTGAATGCACATTCTTGTCATGTACCTGTCGAATATTCCAGGTAATCTACTGTAGTTGGCAGCAAGCCTGTCAACAGCCCGTAGCAGAACATAGAAGTTCATTGCGAAGCTGCATCAATAAAATCGCTTGTCATTTGAGAAGCCAATAAATTTAGAACATAAAAGAGGAATGCAAATAAACCAGAGGCTAACAGCTCCAACATAGTCGCACACAATATTCAAAGCGCATAAACCCACGTGTGCACAAAACTTGCAGTGCATTTTGTAATACGGTCAACGATGGCTGAAAGAACATTTACTTCTAACAAGAAAGAAACTCGTGCTGGTAGCCTGATACTGGGAACAAGCAAATGGAAATGTTCTGCTCTAGATACCCACATGAAGGGCCACCATAGTATCTGTATTACAGTAGTTTCACAAAGTGCCTTTGAAAAAAAAAGCTAAATTCTACGCATTTTAGAATTGCCTAGTTCTAGATGCCCTGCATATGATAAATACTACTCCCTCCGTTCCAAATTACTTGTCGTAGAAATTGATGTATCTAGAACTAAAATACATCTAGATACATTCATACCTGCGACAAGTAATTTGGAACGGAGGGGGTACTCCCTCCGTCCCAAAATTCTTGTCTTAGATCTGTCTAGATACGGATGTATGCAATACTAAAACATGACTTGATACATCCGTATTTAGACAAATCTAAGACAAGAATTTTGGGACGGAGGGAGTACCTCTGTTCCGAAATATAAGATGTTTTGGATACAGACTGAAATGAGTGAACAAACACACTAAAACGTGTCTACATACATCTGATTCAGAAAAAGGTTTAAACATCTTACAATTGGGAATGGAGGGAGTAACAATATTGCAGAACATACATAATAGTAATAGCATGAAATGTGAAAAATGTATAATAATTTTCTGTGTTGGTTACAACAGAAGAGATGGAACGAAAACATAAGAATAATAGATGCTGACCAACTGTCTTCGTCGGCGAAGTACTTTTTAACTTCAGATAGGACTGGAGAACTGAACTCCTCCTCCATACTGCGGTATCTACAGACCTAGACAACAGAAATCACTCAACAACGGGAGCACATATAGTTGATCCAAAAGAACAAGAATGGGGAAAGGCAGAAACAAGATAAATAACAGGTTCCAATAAGAATGGTCGACTTTTTGGTCATCTTTTACAATATTTATGTACTTATTATACAATCAAAACTGTTTAAAACTAAAAGCTAACAGTTAGCACATGTAGCAAGAAATTTAAGCCAGAAGTTGCACTGCCAATACAAGACTTGAATGTGCTGTGCAATCTGCTCATTTTGGAGGAGAATCTACAATAGTCCTATCACCTAAAAAAAGATTAACAAATAAGTGAGCAGTAATTGGCACATCATTTCATGGAAATAAACTTTAAAATTCATCATCAAACACGGGAGTGGATAACAGAACACTGAAAGGTATATCCATCATAAAACCAAACTATCTACCACAATCATCAAGGGTTCATGCAATAAGATATTCGATCAGAAAAAGAAGTTACAAATATATAAGCCCCTGAAGATAACATCTTACTTTGAGTTTTCTAGTGTTTTTGCAGAACGTTTTGATACATGCCCTTGAAATAGAATCAGGGTCTCTACCAATTCGCTTCAAAATACTCTTCACGCGATGCTCTATGGCAAGACAATCAGATTCAGCCTTAGCTTGGTAAATCTTTTGTAAGCTTACATAATACCTGCATTGGTCAGAAAACGGATCCTTTATAAAGTTCATGTAATAGAAGATACAGTTATGGCAATAAACTTGAACCTGAGGGATGATAGTTGCAAGAAACCTACTCAGTAAGTGATGTCATATCCGGTATTGTTCCTTCGAGAGGTAGCTCACCATTGCCCTCATTTGCAATAAATTCCTGTAAAACAGAAAGAAGGCAATGCGACTTAAGAAATGGAAAACCATGGTAAGAAAGAAATGATTGCACAAAAAGATGTACAAAAGGAACCCTGTGCCTTCACCAGGTAACAGTTGTGGACAGTTTCTGAATAGTCCATACATTCACTTCCTAAAACAGCTACCTAGCATATAGGTTTATTGCTCTAATGGGGCCTCTCCAGTAATAACTCATATGTGGCTTTAGCTAATAAAAAACAAGTTATGAACC